TAGCATTCGAAATATATTTGAAAGTTTTGTCACAATTATTTTTGGAGGGGTTTGAAATGTTATACCCTGGATTCTTACAGCCGCTGCAAAACAAGCATTTCCTCGCATTTCCTTCCATTGCATGCGGGGAAAGGTCGAGCGCCGTCTGCGGTATATTTATGTCTAGTTTATTGGAGCAAAAGGCCACTCCCATAAATGGTTCAGGGAAGTCGTCAGAATGCTACATTTTAAATATTTTGATTTTGTAATCCTATTTTGTATCACTGTTTTATCAATATTGGAGTGAATCAAAATGTTAGATATTGTTTTTCTCCCTCTTTCCTTCCTACTTTCATTTTTACTCCACTTCTTCCGGTTTGGCTCCAATTCGATTTCTTACATGTCTTTTAGTGTTCCAATTACATGAGGGTAGGCTACTGGGGTAATACATACACATTATAATTATGATGTAGCTATATAGATATCTGATTATTTCAACTGCAACGTTGTAAAGTCGTTTCCAAATGCATGTGAGGACTGGGACTGGGAAATGTTAAAGGCTAGTAACAAATTATCTATTCATTTTAACTTGTTATTTCATATTTAACAAACATTTTGTTATGAAGCAGTTATGAACTGTGACAAAATAATGCTGAAGATAATCATTTTCATGAGTAACACGAAGACGAGAAAAGAATTTATCATTCCACAATTTGATCTCCAAATATCGTGTCTGGAAAGACATTTCCAAACATCTGTTGGTATTCATTGTTGTCTGTTTGGTATTTTGGTCTGCCCAGAGGGGCCAGTAACAATAACAACAATATGACAAAAAATACACAATTTCCAAAGTTCTCTTTCCCTCGGGTCATATGCATAGGTCAAATCACTACACTTTCTCATATTAGTTCTAAGGTAACTTGAAAAAAGGTCATATCTCTCATGAAGGCCCTTTTAGTTATTGCCTTGAGTAAACGCTGATAATTTCATCTGTTTAATATTACGTAGCTAAACGCTGGTTTGTTTATGCTTTTGAAATTTTATATTGCTAAACACGGTCTGATTCAGAATATTACCTAACGTTCTAAGAGACGGATAATGAATAAGACAGGCTGAACTAGTTTTAATTCATGAAAAGAAAAAATGAAAACGAAGTGAAAGTTTTGAAAGAAAATGTTGAGTACATGCATCATTCCTTAATGAGTCTTCTTCATTAAAGCTTATTTATCTACTCATTCTTTCAAATTCAAATTCAAATTTTATTATCCAATGATTGGAAATTTGTTTCATTTGCATGTCAGTACAAGATTACAGATTATAAACATCAATAAGATACAAGTGGATACAGAATATAAAACATAACATAAAACATAACATAAAATGCAAAGTAATTAAATTAAATGCATAATTTTGATTAAATTAAATTCACAATTGAGATTAAATTCAATTAATGATTCAGCCTAATTTAATTCATAATTCAGATCAAATCCAATTAAAATCCCGATCACATCAAATTCATAATTCAGATTAAATTAAATTCACAATTCAGATTAAATTAAATTCACAATTCAGACTATTAAGTAATTATATTAAATTCATTATCCGGGTTAAATACAATTCAGATTCAATTCAATTAATGATTCAGACTAATTCAATGCATAATTCAGATCAAATCCAATGCAAATCCCGATCACACACAATTCATAAATCAGATTAAATTAAATTCACAATTCAGCAAATGACAACAAAATCACCTTATGAAAGAGGCTTCTCGCTAATATTTTTGATGTACCACCCTGTACATCATCCCACTGTGAATCGGGAATAAATTTGACCTCTCAATCGCTGCTTCCATATAAACAATCATCTATCAATCCACTTTTCATTGACAGCTGTGGGCAGCTATATGGGCCAGCGAATTGAAGTCTTGCACCATTTAATCATATCATCATTCATTAACATTGGTCGTATCTACCAACTTTATCATCTAGAAAGTCACGCCTATGTTTAGGTTTCAGTTCTTATACAGGGCATACTGAATAACCAGCTTCATTCGAGACAAGTCATCCCTACCCTTTAACTAAGGACCAACGGTAGCTCCTTTCCCTATATGACTATACACTGGCGTACCTATGGGGGGGGGGCAGGGGGGGCAGAGTGCCCCCCCTGACGGGCTCCGGGGAAAAAAAGAAAAAGGGGAAAGAAAAGAAAAGAAAGGAAAGGAAAGAAGAAAAAAAAGGAAAAGGGAAGAAAAAAGGAAAGAAAGAGAAAAAAAGAAAAAAAGGAAAGAGAAAAGGAAGAAAAAGGGAAAAGAAAAGGAAAGGAATAAAAATGGGGAAATTTATTTTTTTTAAAAGACCATGGCCGTACGCACCAAGGGGGGGGGGGGGGCAGTTGACCCCAGATATTTTGAAAACGTACAGTTTTTTTCCTGAAAATGTAGTGTACGCCTTTAATTACCAAATCCTTCAATTCTACTTTTTAAAATGCAAAAGTACCCTCATGACCAGTTCGGTCGCTCGAACTCCCTTCACTCCTTTTGCTTTTGAGATTCTTCGAAAACTTTTAACGCATCTTTCCCCCTCCCCCACCAGAAAAATATTCCGCATACGGCCCTGAAAAATTAAAACAAATGAAAATAGGAAAATATAAGTGATATAACAAATTCGAAACTCTTCGCTGGCGCGAACTGCTTGCTAGCCTATTTTGTATTAAATGTTTTTACTTGCTCGTCCCCCTGAAAAAAGAAAAGGATTAGTATTGCCTAGAATAAAATTGTGCCTGCCCCGACGGGCCCCAACCTGCAACCATGGCAACAATAACACACAATATATGTACCAAATGTTACTAAAAGAGACTAATTCATTTTTCTCGCTCGCTACACTCGCTCGCGAATAAAATGAATAGACATTGCTTTGGAAACAATTGTGCCCACCCTTGACCTGCAACAATATCATTAAAAGTGGGAGAGTTTTTTCGCCCTCTCGCCAAAAAGGAATTGAATCGCGTTAAACGCGATTGCGTCCATCCTGACCTGCACCAATAAAAACAAGTTTATTTATTAATTTTTATTAAAAGAGAATTTATTTTTTTTGCTTGCTCGCTATGCTCGCTCGCCAAAATGGAATTGACACCGCTAACGTTCCCGCCCCAACCTGCAACAACCAGTTAATAATTATGTACCAAACGTTATTCAAAGAAGTTTTGGTGTGCTCGTGCTCGCCAAAACGGAATTAACATCACCTTAGACATGATTGTGTAAGCCCTGCCCTGCAACAAAAAAATCTGAAATTTATGAACCAATTATCATAACAAAAATTTTGCTCGCTCGCTACGCTCGCTCGCCAAAATAGAAATAACACCGCTTTTAATAATCACGTCCCTGACATGGAACAATGAACCCAAGTTAATATATACCATATTTTCCCTATAAAAGAAAAGTGATTTTTTTTGCTCGCTCGCTACGCTCGCTCGCCAAAATAGAAATAACACCGCTTTTAATAATCACGTCCCTGACATGGAACAATGAACCCAAGTTTTATGTACCATATTTTCCCTATAAAAGAGAAGTGATTTTTTTTTCGCTCGCTACGCTCGCTAGCTCGTGGAATTATGTGCCCACCACTAACCTGCTACAATATCATTAAAAAGAGAAATGTAGGGGGTTGCCTGCCCGCCAAAATGGGATTGACATTGCCTTAAACACGATTGTGCCCGCCCCCTACCTGCAACAATGAAACAAATTTTATATAGCAATTCATTGAGAGAAAGATGTATTTTCGCTCGCTAGCTAAAATGGGTATAAAATCACCCTAAACACAATATTGTTCCCGCGCCCTGCATGGGACAATTGAACCAAGTTTAAGTGGCAATTCTTAAAAAAGAAGTGATTTTTTTTTCTTGCTCGCTACACTCGTTTGCAAAAAATTAAATTAACGTCGCTAACAAGTGAATGTTCCCACCCCCAACTTGCAACAATACCAGTTTATATACCAAACGTTACTTAAAGATTTTGTTTTGCTCGCTCGCTCGCCAGAAGTGAAAATTAGCATCGCCTTTTTTGTTTGTTTCGGTCGCTTGCCCCCCCTGACGGAGTATCCCAGGTACGCCACTGTGACTATACATAAAAGCCCCTTGTGGCGATTTAGTTTTCGTTCAGATGCAAGGAGTAACAGTTGTGAAACCTCTGGTACTATAAGAGCCCATCAGTAAAGTTGGTATGCAAACATGCGAAACGAAAACAGAAAGTAATAGTAACTATCACTTTTGCTACCACACTTGAATCTACACAATTATTTATTCTGCATGATTTTTATTAAATAGTGTCACCCTTCCCCCTTTTCGGACCATATCCCCTCACTTCTCTTATGACAACATGTTGGACTATATAGCCCAGTATTACACTCGAACCATCTACATTCTACAGGTTACAAAGGGTTGGGGGGGGGGGCTTGTTTGTCCGGGGTGGGCGTCCGGGGTAATCACCCTACACTCGTATTGAAATCGCTCGAAATTAATTTGGAACGAATTCAACTGACTTGATAAAAGCAAATCACAAATGTTTACATTATCATTTTCACAAAAGAAATTCGAGGAATGATGGTTTATTAAATATGCGCGGTAATGGGCGGGTCCTCGATATCATCATCAACTTGTACCGTATGCAATTGTACACACCACAGCAAGCTGCAGACCGAACTGGAGTGGAAGCCATCACTCGTCACCACGTACGAGCATCTCTTAACCGCTCAAAACCAGGATATAATATTACATATTTGGGCCATATTTCATACTCCATTCATTTTTGCGTGGGATGCTTGTATAGTTTGTGTCTGTACCTGACCCTCTTTGTAGTCGTGTTTAGTCTAGCCATTCTACCTGCTCGTTGTCGCATAGTGAATGCGACTGTGGATGATAGTGGATGATATTCCGGGAGGAGGCACGTTTCAAACTGATGATTTTGGATTGCATCAGTGTCTAGGCCTATACTACAATAGTTGATACTGTGATGTAAAGCTTATCGTAAGAATTGAATCAAGCAATGGATATGTATTGATAGGTTACCTGCCTGTTTTGTTCAGTCATTTCAATTTAACTATACTCCTGAGGTAAGTCTCTCAGCTAGACTCTATTGTTTCATGAATTGTATTTGTATATAACGATGTATCCCCATATAATCACCATAACAAATGTGAGTTGTTTGTCAAAAGGTCTCATGTAAGTAGTAAAAGTGTAGTAGAAGTGTAGTAGAAGTAATAGTAGTAGTAGTAGTAGTAGTAGTAGTAGTAGTAGTAGTAGCAGTAGTAGTAGCAGCAGCAGCAGTAGTAGTAGTAGTAGTAGTAGTAGTAGCAGTAGTAGTAGTAGTAGTAGTAGTAGTAGCAGCAGCAGCAGTAGTAGTAGTAGTAGTAGTAGTAGTAGCAGTAGTAGTAGTAGTAGTAGTAGTAGCAGTAGTAGTAGTAGTAGTAGTAGTAGTAGTAGTAGTAGTAGTAGTAGTAGTAGTAGTAGTAGTATAGGAGTAGTAGTAGTAGTAGTAGTAGTAGTAGTAGTAGTAGTAGTAGTAGTAGTAGTAGTATAGGAGTAGTAGTAGTAGTAGTAGTAGTAGTAGTAGTAGTAGTAGTAGTAGTAGTAGAGTAGCGCTAGTAGAAGCAGTTGGAACAAAAATAGGAAGGGGATAGAAAGCACAAGACTAACATTGTCAATTTCGTATAACAATAATACAATGATCTTTATTTATGAACAATAATCATTACACTCATATATAGATCTACTATGTGGAGATCTGATGCCGCTGATAATATTCACTGAGCTGCAAATGAACTATATGACCTGTTTCTGAACTACCTAAAATCGCTGCATTCTTTCGCTGACAATAAAATGACAAACTGACTCTTTATATCTTTCATCGAAACCTTTTAAGGTCTACTGGCCAAGAAACGTCAACGTCATTGACTAGGGTCACGATAGCTTGACGTTCAACTTGGGAGAAAAACCTCAATCACTTTACGTCTGTTTTTTAAAACGTTTTATTTTCTTTCATTTTGCTCACTGTGTTTTCATGTGTTTCTTCATGTTTGTTTTAATTTCTAAACCTTATCATAGATACAAATTTATAGTATACCTGTAAGGAATATTTTAAATCTGTTGTTCCCTTTTTCTTTGATAACATTAATGTAATAATATGGAGAGGCAACAAGGTAAAGAAAAACCTTATAGTACCTCATTCACCAATAGTATTGTGTAGGCCTGTGTGATATAAAGTGAAATAATATTAAAACTCAATGTTATGACATTATTTTGTCAGAGCCAGACAGACTTGAAAGGTGGCAATTAATTTGTTCTTCTTTTTTTGGTTAAAACAACCTTGTGCTGCTTATTGATTTTTACTATGCATGTTTATTCGGTTCTAATTGGTTGACACACATTGTGTATGTCGTTTCGTATTGCTTCCTTGTTTGCATTTGGTTATAGCCATAGAAAGCATTGGGCCACAGTATACGCCACAGCAAACTGAATATCAATACATGAAGGTCATTAATTTGAATATGAATAGCGTATGTATGTTTATATAGAGTGACACATCATAACCATAACCTTACAAATGTTTATAGAAGGTCCGGTAATAATAACCTTAATTTTTATATGTGTGTCTGTTTTTGCATTGGGTAGATGGTCTCTCAATAGAAAAATAGGTCCTCTTGATTCTGAATAAATAATGATAATAATATAGTGAACATTTTAATGCACCATGTCTGTCAAAAATGACACTCCTGGCGCAGTTGTGTGGAAATTGTATAATTATCGTTCTTACAGCACTAGCGCCTCATCTTTTTATATGCTTCATTTTTTTCTCCAATAATTATGCTCGAATAGTACTTATTTCTTTTCTTGTCCCCTAATTTTCTGTCAACGGTCTGCAATCATTGCATACCCCTTTATTTTGTCAGTTTTTAGGCAAATGTTTATATCTTCCCTACAAATCTTCAGTAGATAAATGAAAGTCTAGTGAATTGTGTTTAATTTAATTCCAATCATAATGATCTCCAAGGAAGAATAATGTTTCACTGAGCCCTTGACCCGAAATGATTTTCAAAATGCGTGACGTCAGAAGTCAGAATTCCGTTTGATTCATCAACTTCCTCTGATAAAAGTATTTTTGCAACTGAATAAAACATTTACAACCAAATGTTTTTCTTAGTATGATCACAGCATGATCACTGCTAGAGGTGTAATATACACCGCTGATCCTATCAACACAGTAGATTCTCTAAATAAATGTTCTTTCATGTCACATTACTGAATGTGTTAAGGTCATGGGTGTGTCAATCTTTGAAGTATACCAGGAGTAAGATAAGGAGGGCAGCCACACACCCCTCTGTATGGTTCCCACACCCCTTCTCCCAGTGTGCTCCTAATAAGCGACCTTCAAGCTCCAGTTTATACACAGCTGGACTCCCATGTATGCTGGTAGAAAGGCGTAGTCCCGTGTTGAAGAGACATGTCCCCGCTTAAATAAATGTATTGGACAGAGAATTTGACTTTCAACTTCAAATTATGTCGTCTTTCTTTACGTTTTACATAAAAACAAGAATATTATCACTATCAGATAAAAGATGTGGGGTAACAGAGGTCATTTAATCTGTCAAAAGTCAGTCCAAAAAAAATGTAAGAAATATCCAGGACGCACAATGTCAAGACTAAGTATATGCAAAACTTATGGCGGTATTAAAAGATACAGTTCATAATTTCTTTGATGTGATTAGGATGTAGATGCAAAACTTAACCTTCTTCCCCGGAATATTCTATTGCACTTTGTGGGAAATGTGAATTCTCTTTAAAAATATTGGACATGTTATTAAAGAAATCTATTGGTTGCTCATGGGATGGAGCCTAACTGTTCATATTTTTATTTAAATAAACTATCTATAAAAGTTTACATGTAATCCTCCACACATTACTTACCGTGCAGGTTTTGCAAAGAGACGGACATTCCGATTTGTCGCCCATCGCCGTAAGGTGATGTTACCATAGCAACAGAATGGTTATCATTCCTGATTCTGTTTTCCTAAATTATCTTTTCTTCTGTTACTTTTTCTTTTTCCTTTTCTCTTTCTATTTTTATCTATTCCGTCGAGAAGCCATGACTTTGGTTGAAATCAGAGACATATTTAGTACTGCGTGTGTTCAACGATATTATTCCTCTCCTTCCAATGCGTTTAACATTCCATTTTGAAAGAATACTTTAGATGGCCTTTGAATATCATCAGTGCAATGTAATGCATGTTGACAATGGGGAATATTTCTCTTGTAATCTTATCTCAAGTAATGTAGTAGGTTTTGAAGTGAGTATTGGAGGTCTCACGGATATTTCAGACGGCAGATGTGTCTAAATGCGACCTACAGTACCCCTATTCACATTATTCTGTTATAACCTAAAAACTATGATAATCATAGTTTTTAGGGACGAGTTTATATGAGTTGATAAGGAAAATTAACAAATAGAAGAGAGCATTGCGTAAACCCCGTTATTTACAGGAGAAGTAATATTGTTGTCTACGCATTTTAAGACTATTAAGCAATTCCCAATTCTAACCAATCCATTTGTGAAATTTTGAAATTCTTCGAAATGACTAATTTGGAGTAACCCTGAGCAATGTTATTTGGAATGTATACTAGCCGAACCTATTCACAAAATGTAACTTTATTAGCTCAGAAGGCTCCCAACTTTAAATCATTTTTTAAATTTGTAACGTGCAAAATCTAATCGTTTATTAGGGAATAATGAAATAAAAAAAAATCAACCTGACCTGATATTAAAAAGAAATATCTGAATGCCGGTGTATTTCATCTGAAGTTCATTGAAACTCTTGTATATTTGTATTGAATGATATACAATTGATATCAAATTCATATCTTGATTTCCAAGATGGAATTAAGTTTTAGATGTGATTTGGAAAAAACTTGAAGAAGGAGTACCAAAGTAGCTAGGTCACATTCCAGATACCATAAGTCAAGGGTCGGGGAACTCAGAAAACAGCGAGAGAGATCTCCTTCGCGTCACCATCAAAACTTAATCTAGGGCGATAGAGGAGGGATTTAAAGCACCACACTGTAAAACTGAACCCGTGTAAATTAACATTCTTCAATGCTGCAATTCTTTTTATTTGTTTGTTCATTTTTCTTGAAAATTTGCAGACAATATCATTATTGAAAAATACCTTGATGACCATGAAATTAGCCCCCCCCCCCCCCTTGAATCGAATAAAAAACAAGATTACAGAGGAAAAGACGAGGGGGAAATAAAGTATAAATAACAATAAGAAAGCGGGAAAAAGAAACTATTGATGACCCCGGTGACTATGAGGGAGGAAAACATTAGTAACTCTTGTATAGTCTTAATGAGGCACACATTTTAATATGCCTTATAATGACTATAATCATTGTTATCGTGTTCTTATGAGGTCTAAAATTGTTATGAACATATTTTGTTACAATTAAAAACGATAGAATAGAAATGAAAAAAAAATTAAAGTTGAATAAAAAGCCATTAGATCATAGATAAAAAACGTGAAATATAGTCTTTAAGTAACAGTAAGGATGTTTTCATAATGTTTACCCCGAGTTTGTTATCCCATCTGTCTATATCAGCTACCATAGGTCATGTTATATGATACTATCAAATTATCTCACAGGGAAGGCAAACAAGTCCACAATCAAACCTGTCAAAATATAGTCCAATGACATGTCGTTTCATTTCGAATATCATGCAACTTGCTACTGTAAATTGTACTTCTGCATGAAACATGTAGTTATTCTGTACTTTATACTTCTATACTTCTACAACTAATTTGACATCTCGTATTTATTCATACTTCTACAGTTACTTTTATTTCTGCAACTATTCATACTACTTTTAATGTGTACTTCCTTGTTCTATTATCCTATACTACCGCTACTTCTATTCACTTCTGCTTGTACAGCACTACTACCCTACTTAATGTACATTTTCCTGGATGTCGCACAATGACGAACTTTACTGGTTTTTCTGTTTAAAAGCAAAGTTGAAAAGCAAGGTTGAATTAAATAGGCGATGAATATTTAATTTCATTGTTTGCTAATGGTGCTGTAGAGCGATTTGTAAGCGTACATAATTATTATGCTATACATCAGAATGATATTTGGTAGCACACACATATTGTTATGAAGTACGTGTCTGTCAGCCATAGCCTGGACACAATCATCCAATGTCATTTAATGTGAAATTATTTGACAACTTGAATCCCCTCTTTAGATAGTAGATGTTAAGAATGTAGGGTTGGTCCTTTGGATGATAACATTCTCAATCACAGTCAGTGAAATAAACATTCCAACCTACCTAATATATATTATCCGTCTGCATGTTGTAATGAGAAATGTCCATTATCAAAACACTATGCCTACAGCTGCTACACGGTGGTTTCTGTTTTAAACCTATTTAAACGAGAAATGGCAAAATGGCAGAAGACATCCACGTTGTAATATGATTATGGTACAATATAACTCTTCTTTCTCTCCTCTTTGTATATATTTTATTATATCTTCTTCTTGTTTTCTCTTGTTGGTTTGTTTTTGTGGTTGTTGCTGTTTTAAATAAAAATTAATGTTTGCTTCAATTGGGATATATATAGCATTTACATACTTGTATCATATACATATTACTCATTTCGTTATTCTATATGTTCAAATCCTTATTTATAACCTGGTTTGCACTTTTTTGTTTGTTAAAGTCGTATTTTGTAATTTTCTATATTTATTTATATTTTGATTTGTTGAAATGTATATACTTGTTTGTGTCATGAAGGGCCTCAACGAAAACCACTATTTATTTGCTGATTGGGCTACCCTTCTTTTTAAAGATGTGTAATAAATGAATAAAAAATAAATAAAATGGGTAATTTGATAATTTAGTAGTTAATGGGTTGAACTAAATATCCTTTTATGAAGCCATTTTAAATCAAAGATCGTTATTTTGTTACATTTAGACCATCATTGTCTGTCTCAATTGTCAGATATCCAAGGAAAATAATACATTCAGAATGGGTGACTCATGACTTGCGAGAAATGTGTCTTCACTGGATGATTGATTTACGGTGCAGAAATCGCGAGGCGATCATTTACATTCTAAAATCTCCTTGTTTGTTTTCTGACACCAATTCATCTGGCCATCAGCTCAAACATATTTGGGTTTGGCATGGTTATGATAACGTACGCGTGGCGGTGTGATGGCAATATTAATACCAACCAAATGTTTTAATCGGTGTATTACTAATAGCTACGAGATGGAGGGGTCGGACTCGTAAGGAACACTTTGTGACAAGAAAGATGCAGGGGTCAGGGGTTAACATTACCCGCCTGAATTCTACTCGACGTTGGGAAGATGTTGATTTATGATACAAATAAAATAACAAGATGGATGTCAACACAAGTCGGTGATAATGGATCATGCTTTGGGCAGGTCAATGTGGGGGCATGGAGGAAAAGGGCGGGGGGGGGTGGGGCTCTTAATCTTCCTTACAAAATTGTATTATGTGTGATTATATAGTAGAGTTGAGGTTAACTCTGTATAGCGCCACTGGCTTTCTTCCGCCATGATATTCCTAAATCATGTTCGAATTCAATGTGGCATTTTGTGATGTTTTAGGCTTAAACCAATTTGAAACTGGACCCGCCGCTGTACCCATTTAATTTCCATAGTACAGAACACCTCTTGCATGCTCACAAGGGTTGCACTCTGCCATTTACATCAATGCTTTACGAGGAAAATATGATCGTTTGTCATCTCTCATCTGTGATCACGGTGGTGACATGATGACATCTATCTGACTCCGTGTGGAAGCATCTTCGAGATGAACCAAGAAACGGAGGAGTCGAAACAACTTTCAAATGTCATTTTCAGAACCATTCAGTTCAATTTGTTGTTTTCATATTTAACAGACACTGAACATTACTGTCACGTTTCAAACGACAAAAGGGAGCTGGGGTATATTGATTCATGATAATATATTGACAACATTTAATATTAAAGAGAAGATTAAGTTCTGGGAAGAGGTGATAAATAATTTGTGAGGATTAATTATCATTGTTATACATGCCAGTGTGGACGACCATCAGATAAAAAATGTTCCCTAAAAAGCAAGGCTCTTCAATTGCTTTCATATTCTAAATATGGCATGTACCTACATACAAATTCGGACGGATTTTTATGACACATGTTCGTGTAGCCCCATATACATCTTTCTGTGTATCGTGCTTGTAAGTTTACCAAGACTGGGCCAAATTTCTTATCATTTTGATGATTTGATTGTATGCTAGATGATCAACCTTTTGTGATCGATTCCACACCGTTTCTTTCACAATGTAATTGCATGACCAGGGGGTGTTTCACAAGGATCCTAAGTTGAACTTATCTCTAAGTTGGACTTAAAAATTATGGAAAGCCATTAGCATCTTTGACAATATTTTGTAAAAGTTATTTTGAAAGGCATTAATTGTTTATTTAAATCATGATATTTTCTATCATCTAGGAGATTTCATGTTCTGGATGTGGAATTTATAAAAAGTCTTAAATACTTGAATTTCTGCTTTTGAATATATTTCATTTTAAGACTCCAATGGCTGTCCATAATTTTTAAGTCCAACTTAGAGTTAAGTTCTACTTAGGATCTTTGTGAAACACCCCCCAGAACTTAATTTTATCTTGAAGCGTACGTTCCTGATGCAGTCTCTGTTACACACTTCAAACTGCATGCATGACTGAATCATCATAATTATAATGAAAGCTTTATTTGTTTATGAGACCTATGGCGCCTCAGAATGCTTTATTTCAGGCAAGAGGCTTATCATAACTGTTGATATTCGCTATTTTCAGCTAGGTAGCCTACAATCTGCCCTTGTACTAACCAAAATGGGTGCGCCACTGCAATGACTATTGAATCAAAGTACAAATAAAATATATATAGACCATTAAAACAAGGTTTCGCTTGCTTGAAAATGCTGGAAAGACGATAAAATTGATTCTTTAGATTGAAAACATATGAAATGTCATCTGTAAAAATGACAGTTATTTCAACTATCATGATAAATATATGAAGGGTCCATTTCGATTCAATTAAATGGTTTCATTAAAAAACAATGCCTCGCAGCCAAAATGCTGAATTAGACATGTTTACATGTATACATGAGCTCCATTACATAAAATCTTATTTTATTTGTTATAATCATTCAAACGGTATTGGTAATATTTAACATTAGCTATTTAAAATCAATCACTACATACTATTTACATTCTAAAAATTCATTGAAATTCATAATATGATAATAGTAAAAACAATACAATATATAATGTATAAATAAGTCAAAAAGCTAATACTGAAATGATTGCACCTGTGTTTACATGTATTTTTCCAGCAATAACCTTTTGTTTCTGTGTCTCTTTTGTTCTGTGTCTCTTACTTTCAGGACCAATAATTCTCCTTGAACGTCTTTTAAAAGTCAGACATTCCCTTGCAACTTACCATCATCATGCGTGTCCGCTCAGCCAGTCAGCTGTATCACCACATATTGGTTTTCACCTTCGTCGTTATAGTAATTTCATGCACCATTGCCAATGCACAAACTGGTAGGTTAATAATACTAAAATTAAACTTGCCCGCACTGAGTTTAATGCTTATTTGTCTTTTTGTTTTCTTTTATTCACACTACTTATGGAAACCGAACAAAAAAGAGAGAGAAAACAGAACCCAATGAAGTAAACTTGCATCATGAATAAATATAGTTTGATTCAATGACGAATTCATTGTATTGGTGGACCTAATCGACCGATTAATTTTATATACCTGTAATGATTCTTCATATATTGGCTGTAATAATGGCTGATATGGAATTTTTAAACTAACTTAAGGAAGAGATCAGCGCAGTCTTTATATTATCTAGGTATGCCTATAACAATCATCAAAACCAAAATCAAAGACATGTATAAGTGAATTTATGGGTTGCTGTTAACCTTTGTTGTAAAATAGTATTCTGTTTCTTCAGTTGCAGGACGCCATCTCACGGATACTACTCCTATCAACCTGACTTCACCAAATTATCCGAATCCGTATCCAAACAACTTGAATTTTGCTTATCATATAACCGTACCAGCCGGATTCCGGATATTAGCCAAACTTTATTTTCTGAGTCTGGAACGCAACAGTGATTTCCTTTCATTCGGAGATGGTAATGGTAGGGAGCTTATCCGACTAACCGGAAAGTATTCACCTCCGACTATCCTGTCTCCGGATAATGTCATGTGGATGTACTTCACAAGTGATGCAAGTAGTTCGGATACCGGTTTTCAGTTTGAAGTTTCTCTTTTTAACCAGTCAGGTAAATAATGTAGAAAAAAATTAACTTAACGAACACAATAAACACTTTCAAGACAGCGACATTCTCTCCCCCATCTCTCTTTCTCTCTCTCTCTCTCTCTCTCTCTCTCTCTCTCTATATTTCTCTCTTCCTCTCCTTCTCTCTCCCTCTCTCCTCTTCTTTCTCTCTCTCTTTCTCTCTCTCTCTCTCTCTCTCTCTGAGTCGTAATTAGAAATTGTAGAGAGAACAGAACTTAATATAAAATAATTATGCCTGAATTAAATCTAGCATCTGATCTAGTCTGTAAAATATTTCCCCCGCTACCAAATCAAAAATAATTTGAAGATTCTGTTAAAGACGTCACATCTCATTCGAAGCGAAAGCTATTCAACCCACAATCCGACACCGATTTAAAATTTTCATTGAGAACGATTCAACAGATAAAAGATAATATGGGGAAAGAATGTTTTAGTTAGGATATAAATTGTAATGCACAAATAAATGAGTATCGATTCAGTGATGTGTAAGCGAAAGAAAGAAATTATACATGTCAATACAACGTACTCCATGTTTATATTATCCACATCAACGAAAATTTTAAAATTTTAAAAAAAAAAGAACAGTAAGCACAATCACCTCATTTCTGTCCTATAACAATAGTTATAGTCCTCTCTTCACCCCGTGTACACAAATATTGGACTGATTAATTTTTTTGGCACCGTACTCTATAGTTCTGTATTATGTTATTATCACCCATTTTTTATAAGGAGACTAGTCTTTGTTATTAGTTTATATTTTTGTATCTATCTTTTAACATATTTTCTATTTCTATTTCAACACACGTATTCATCTTTTGGTTAATTAATTCAAATATGGTAATCATATTCACAAACTGACCGTAAAGTAACTTTTTTATTATGTTTATTGCCTAGGTGTTCGTGTAGTGGATGGCACAACTCCCTTTAATGGGCGAGTAGAGGTCTACACCGATACTTACGGGTGGGGCACTGTATCCAGCTTTGCATGGAACCTGAAGGATGCCTCAGCTGTATGTAAGGAGTTAGGTTTACCTGGTGCAATCAGTGAGGTCACTAATGCTTACTATGGAGCTGGGACAGGAGTAGTCGCAATGACTAATGTCGACTGTAGTAATGGTAATAATCAGGGTTTTTGAATAAATCTGCAGCCTGTGTATTTGTAGTTTTTCACCTTCTCTCTCTCTCTCTCTCTCCCTCTCTCCACCTCTACCTCTCCCCTCTCTCCCTCCTTTCTCTCTCTCTGCCTTTATTTTGTCTTTCCGCCCTCTCCCCCCCCCCCCCCCCCCCCTCTCTCTCTCTCTCTGCCCTGTTTGACATGGTTGCACAATAATACTTCATGTATGATAAACTCCCTTCCAGATGATTTTAGGAATGCCGGAAATATTTCTTTAGATTGTTAAAAAGCTCTTTGTTTGAAGTCAATAATGATGAATTCAAATTGAAAGTTAACACTTTATGTGTTGATAAACGAGAGGCTTACATTATGTACGTTTAGCATGTAATGAGTACAATATATTCCAAAGTAATAATGGTAATTGAAGCAAAACCCTTACTGCTGGGTTTTATTAGCTTGGTTGTATAGCATGTCATTAACACTAATGAACACCCCAATTCTAGTTTGCCTAACCACAAACTTAGATCATCAAAATCATTGCATTTAATTAAAATAATCAGAACTATCCTGATTTGTATGTAATTACACTGTATAAAGGTGTCGTGAACGAGTGGATACGTCGCCCGACTGGTGATCTCAAGGTCTGCGGTACGTATCCCACCGCGGCACTAATGTCCTTTGGCAAGACATTGATCTACATTTGCTACACTCCACCCAGGTGAAGTAAATGGGTACCGGTAGGAAGTAATTTCTTGAATGCTGTGAGCACCGACATCGGTAGCCTAGCAGAGCCGGGGTAATATTGGAGCGCTTTGAGCACCCTGCAGGGTGGATATGTGCGCTATATAAATATCCAATATTATTATTAATATTATTATCATTATTTGGACATAGAATTCTATAAATAATCAATTTTCTTTCCCTCTCGTATTATCAGACCACTTCCGTCTCCAGGATTGCAATTTTCAGAGTCCTTGTTCTGCTTGCCCACACTCTCAAGATGCTGGAGTCAATTGTCATCGTGAGTATATAATATGGACAAGTAAATAAATATACCATGCACTGAGAGGCTCTATTTGAAATTATGGATCGAGGTGGCAGGAATAGCACTATTTTTTGAGGGCGTAGCCCCGAAGAAAATACTGCTATTTCTGTCTCCGAGGAATCCATAATTTCACTACTGGCTTAAAATAGTACATAATATATTTGTTTTATATTTTCCAAACCAACCTTCATGTTTACTGTCACTGAAGTAGTGTAGAGTGCAATGAGAGCAGCATAGGCGACAGTACCGCGACTGCGACCGATAGCACATTGATCTTGATCGATTGCATATATATGACGTCATCCATGGTATAGTGATATGGTATAGTGCACTATACCATTGATAACGTCACAGTTCGTCATAGCAATGTTATGTTTGGTCACATGATGCTATGTTGACCAATCACTGAACAGGATTTCATTGATCAAAAATATAATAGTTTATATACCGCCGGTGGTATTGATGTAGCACTTGGCTCTTATTTGATGGCAAATGAAACAAATCGGTGGAATCTGTGTGAGGAAATATCAAGAGTAGCTTTGCATCATTAATATTCAGATAAAACGTGTCCAGTATGGCCCCGGGGAATGGACTTCTGAGGGTAGTGATAGGGATGCCCTTACATAATCATTCTACTGATCTTACTTGTGGCAGACATTGTGACAGACTCGTCTTAACTTTCTTTTTCTTGATGAAGTTTCTTTTTAGAATCTTTGGTCGTCCCGTTTCATATGTAAGCAGTAATGAGAATTATGCTTTTTCATTTAACGGTTTTCTAAAATAATTTTTGAGGTTGTTTATTTATTTTATCTTCTTTTAATCATCACAACTAGGGCCCAGCTACATAGGTTGTTATAGCTTTCCAAATCTTCAGTCTGGTTCAAGCACCGCCAGAACAGTAGACGCCTGTATATCTAATTGCGACCAGGCCAACATGAGGTATGCTGCCATCAACGGTGACAAATGCTTCTGTCGCTCGGATATGACTCTCACGGAAACACCCGAAGACAACACGATATGTGATCGTCAATGTTCGGAAAACCGAAACCAGGCCTGTGGGAGTACACAGGAATCTTTCATATTTACAGTTTACGATAGTGAGCAATTACGCCATTCTTTCTTTCTTTTTTTTCTGTCTGACTTTCTTTGTTTTTGTCACTTTCCAACTTTTTTATTTAGTGAAAATAGATGTGTTTAGGTAAACTTCTTTAATTTTTTAATGTGAGTTTATTGAATTTGATAAATAATATTTTTAAATGAATTTTAAATTTAAAATCTTTCTTTCTATGTGCTTATTATAAATCTGTCATGTGCGTTCTAGAAGTATGGTGCAAGTATGATTCCTCCCCAAGAAAAAAATAATGTATTCATGTATTATATTCAAATCTTTTAGTACAATTAAGTTGTTACAACTTTAATACTCTAACAAATAATCTATATCTCATGCTTATATTCGTCATTTATCTTCGACTAACCATGCAGCCGAATTTGCCAAATGCAAGGATCCAGGTATTCCAGGAAACACCACAAGAACCGGAAATAGCTTCCAGTTTATGTCAAAGTTGAAATACAACTGTTCTGAAGGCTTTGATCTGATTGGTTCATGGGAGATCACGTGTGTAGCTGGTGTTAGTTTACAGGACCCTGTATGGAATCATGATGTACCAGTATGTATGGGTATGTGACCGTCAATGTCTTGCTTTTTGGTTTAATTGAAAAAGTTCATCTTTGTACAGTGACTAAAACTAACCCCCGCCCCCTAATTTTAATATAAAGATTTGTAGTTAATAGTCATTTTTAAGAGGAGGGGTACTAAACTACGTCCGTACAAATATTGTGTTCGGTCTTGATGACCACTACTCAATATTGTTTAGGCCGAGGCGTTTGATATGGTAGAGTATTAATATGAAAGGACAAAATGAAAATACTTTGTTTTTTCTCATTTGCTTTTAAATCAGATGATGTGCTGAACATGATGAAGGGAGTTTGATTTTATATATTTATTTCCTTCTCTCTCTCTTTCTCTCTCTCTCTTTTCTCTTCCACCCCTCACTCTCTCTCTCTCTCTCTCCGTCTCTCTGTCTCTCTCTCTCTCTGTCTCTATCTCTCTCTCTCTCTCTCTCTCTCTATATATATATATATCTTTCTCCCTCTCTTTCTCTTTCCCTCTTTGTCTCTTCTCTACCTATATCTCTATAATTTTTAGCACGACTTGAAAACGGCACCCAGCCGATGAATTCCACTGCATTGCCACAGGAAGACCCATCAGACAGTAAGTTTTTATAGAAACAATCATTTTTACGAAGAGAAAAATAAGTCATAAGGGTACTTTGATAGAGAAGGGAGTGAGTTTGGTGTACTGCGTGCCCTTTATTCAAGAAATGTTTTATAATTGATGATCCTCCATTTCCCTTTATGAATGATAGTCAGGGGCAGATCTAGCTTTTCGCTAAGGGGGGGGGGGGGGGGTGACCCAGTGACGGATCCAGGATTTTCCAAAAATTGCGCCGTTTTACTGTTTTACTTTTTCTTTTCTTTTTTCTTCTTTTCCCCGTTTTTTTTACTTGGCCGCCCAAGGGAAGGGGGGGGGGGGTAAACCGCCGAAACCCCTAGATCCGCCCTGATAGTGAAGGAAACCAGGACCCCGTCTTTTGCGATTAATCGCAACTATGTATATTATAATAGATATGGAGTCGCAAATATGTGATTGATTCGGATCAATCGCAACTCTTTATAAGGCAGGGTTAAGACCTTGCACAGTGAGTTACATAGCTATTTATTAAATCCTGAATGGTGACAAACACAAAATAATCAACATTAAAACCAATGTACACGCTTTGTTCTATAGCCATGGCATGAATCACATTATTCACGACACGCATTCTTGTTTTGTTGTTATTTTACACTCATCCTTTCAAATTTCTATTTTTGTTTTTTCTTCTTTTTTCTCCTTGAATCATTATTTACTCCTACCAGATAACCTGCCCACCATTCTGACTATCGTCTTAGTCATCGTCTTCTCTTTCATCTTCCTCGTCGTTCTCCTATGCTGTATCTGTCGATGTCGGAAGAATGGAAGGTGTAAGTGTAAAAGGAAACCCAAGAAGGTGGAGTTGTGGTACTAAACCTCGATCAAAAAAATAATAATAATATTTTAAATTATGTGCCCATACAGTACTAAATTCAACGGGATATGATCATTATCAACCCATCTACTACTGCACACTCTTGGGGTTAAACAATATACGTGGGGGGTTCCCCGGCGGCATGTTTACTTTGATAGACAATAATTGTTTCATATATCTCTGTAAAAAGTTTGACACATGCACTATAGTCGCCCATCTTTGTAGATGAAACTTAGGATGAGATATAGAATGAAAATGAGTTTGTTCACAAATTAAATTGAAGATAATACCCGGAATCAAACCCGGCAAGTTAGAGAAATTACTTATCAAAATCAGTCTCAAAAGTATTGGCTAATTTGGCTGAAATATAAGCACAAAATGGACAGCTGTCTCAAATAAAATGAGAAAAAAATTATGAAAATATATTATGAATAAAATGACCAATTCATGATGGTTACATGTCGAATGAATGGCTTTAAATCCAAAGATGGATACACATTCCAGCAAAACATGAAATAGTCTTAAATTGTCATCGGAGGGGGGGGGGGGGTTGTCCTCGTGGGGTAGTTGTTCTCGGGGGTAATTGTTCTCGGGGATAGTTTTCCGGAGGAAGATGTCCTCCGGTGGGCGGGGGGGGGGGATGTCCTTGGGGGTAATTTACAGGGGGGGGGAGTAGGTAATTGTCTTTGGGGGGTAACTTTCCGGGGGTGATTGTCAAGGGGGTAATTGTCCTGATACGGAACATTAAAACTGCATGGGCACTCTATAAACTGGGAAAGTCATGTATAATTTTTATTTTAAAATTGCTTGTAATATTTAATTCTCCGTAATATTTTAAATCTGATGAAATATTCTGAAAATACTTTATTATGTGAAGAAGGTTAAGTGTTCAAAATGAATGGATTATTGATAGAATTATAGCCAAGTATACTGATATGGTCTATTGTACCTTTTTTTACAATCAATTAATAATATAATGAACGTTATTAATTTTGTATAGCGCATATTACAAAGAAAGTATTGTTCAAAGTTTTACAGTAGTATTTCTTTGAATTATGCAATGTCAAGCTAGCATGTAATTTAATTTATTTATTGTTTCCTTCATAAAAAAACGAAATATGGATTGTATTCACAATCTACCTTGTACATGTTCAACGGCACAATGAATTTCTATGTATAGGGGCCCGGTCTTTATCAACAGTTGTGATTGTTCCGTACTGATCGTAACTCCTCCAATCAATTGCAGACTTAAAAAAACCTCATTTCTTCAGTATATGATTACGATCAGCTTGGAACAACCGCTCCTGTTAACAAGACGGGGCCTAGGTATTTTGTAATATAAATAATAAAATATAGTTTGGGTAAATAAAATTAAGATCTGTTTGAGCAAGTTGTTATAGATTGTAAAAAAAGCATAGCTTGTGCGTATTCTATAGTGAACAAAATGTAAACCACAGGCTTTTACATTAAATGTACAGTGTATGTCTTATTATAAGAAACAATTAAATGGAATATTCAAATTGTATGATATAGCTTTATAGAGTTATTGTTTACATAATAGTAAGAGCATTGATATAACCATCTGCACGATCTGTCGTATTTTATCAAGAGTTTCACTCAATAGAGGTTCCAACCTTAGTAGTAAACTATGACTCTAAAAGAAGAAAATCAAAGAAACCAGTTGGTAAAATTTTTAACGGAACCGGACAACAAGTAAGAAAGTTATGAATTTTTGAAAGTCATAACCAATATACGGATTCATATTGGCTGAATATGTCACTGTGACGTAGTGCCTGACTTTTGACAACTTTCCCGTTTGTTTCAACACACAAAGTGACTAAAATGTCAATCTTTCAAAATATGTGAATCAGGGGGGTTCTTCTCTTTAGAGTACTTATAATAAAATGTTATCCGTAATGAATTGTAGTAGTGCCCCAAAGGAGAAGGAAAACAGAATTTCGTATAGATTAGTGGTCACATTCCACTGACCAAAATGCCAATTTGAGATTCGCCTATACTTAGTGAGCTCATATTTCAAACATTCATAACTCTCTTATTGTATTAGTGGTCCGATTCATTTCAAACATTCGCCATTCTGTTTCTCTTATTTTTTTGCTTTCATACAAATTAACTTATTATAAAGGTTGGATTGCCCTTTAAGGGCCTTGGTGTAATGTAATCATGGGTGAGATGTGGAGTATTTTACCCAGATTTTCACTTATTTTCTCTGTAACATGCAATCTGGACTCGACAATCTCACGATGGCCGATGATTTTTTTTCTTCGGATTAGGGTTAGAGAAACATTTAGTGTTCGGTCCAGGGTTAAATTTGAAGCATTCGAAGTCAACCCAGGAGTATATACCGAAGCGTACTACCATCAAAATGTGTTTATATCTGTATATCGGTTTTCAGTTAGACTTCATTACAATTCCATCAGCAAATACTGCAAGACTTTAGTGTGCTTCTGTAATAGATAACAATTTATGTAGGCCTATCCATTTTGTGAAGAAATAAAGAAAAAAGTCTGAAACGAAATACTAGTAGTGTCCATCTTCTGCCTGTTTAGTCAGTTGTATACATTCAAATGGTATTCCAACCATTCCTTTCTTAATGAATTATGAAATCGCAATACTACTGCATGGGAATTAAATTGTTTCGATGAAATGTAAAATGAATTCCCCAAATCCATATTTTCTTAAATGTTTATGAACGTACACATTTAGTCGTTTTAATCCGCTTCAGCTGACCTTTGATGTTGTCCCTCATTAATTATTTTCTCCCACTAATAGGGGAAATGCTTTTGGTATGAGACCATACATTATTATAATCATGTTGCATGATAAACTTTCGTCGAAGTTGGTCACCTTGCCTAGACTGTCTGTCAGGGTATTGTCTCAGTTCTAAAAAAAACAATTATGGGTGTAACTAGTATGCACGGAATAATTGTTTTGCAGAGAGAGAGAGATATTTATAGAACTTTGCAATCTGAATGTGCATGATGCTGAAAATGAAGAGGACGAGAAGGAGCAGGAGGAAGAAAGAGAGAGAGAGAGAGTGAGAGAGAGAGAGAGAGAGAGAGAGAGAGAGAGAGAGAAGAAAGAGAGAGGGGTGCGAAATACGACGAGATTTTGATTGCCAATTAAAATCAATAAGACTGCTAATAAGCAATTAAGGGTATTATTTCAATGTAAAAGTTTGCAGCGAAACCTACACGCCTAGTATGCACTGATGCTATTTAACGCTCTCTCTTTTATTTTTTAAAATTTTTAATAGAATGATCATAAATCTGTGCTTATTGCTAATATCCTTGTGGAATTTACATGGATTTGAGGATATACTATTAGCAAATTACCTACGAAATACTGCCACTCAAAATCTCGTTGCAGAAAGAGAGAGAGAGAAAGAAAGGAGAAAGAGGGAGAGAGAGAGAGAGAGAGAGAGAGGGAGAAAGAAGGAGAGAGAGGGAGACAGATAGAGAGAGAGAGAGAATGAGAGAGAGAGAGAGACAGATAGAGAGAGAGAGAGAGGGGGAGAGGGAGAGGGAGAAAGCTAGGGATGTGGATACTGACAAGGTAACTGTTGCATATTGTACAGAAAACGGTGATCTCGTTAATAATAATTTCTTTCTGTGCCTTAAATATATATTTTTTTAATAGATTATTTCTCCAAAAAACAAGGCGAGAATGTTGACACGAATGAGGCATGTAAGCTACTGTGCATGTGCCGATTTGTTTGTTATAAAACCAGCTAACTCTTTCGTCGTAATTTGAAATCATTCGGAAATGGCCTTACAATGATAATAATGACACCCCGCAAGATACTATATAGATAAATAGATTCAGATGTTATAAAACAAATCACATATCCCGCCGAGAAAACATTAAAAAGTAATTAGTTTTATCGTGGAGGGGGGGAGGGGGCATAATGGCCCCCGGCCTTTTTAGGGTTAAAATCAGAAGTATGTATGGATACGTGACTTGGTAATTGACCGGTTGCTATGGTTTCGATCTGGTTTCTTCACATGGACAAACTTGTGACCTACACACAGTAGGTAGATACCTTCAATATATCCATTTGTCTTTTGTTACCCCTTTTAACCATTTTTTTTTAATTATAAAGAAGAAGTTCTATAAAAACGTTGCCTCCATTGAAAGAAACAAAATACCATGAAAAACTCATTTCCTTTATCTCGATTAATTCTAATATTCTATGAATTTGAATCGTCTTTAGATCAATTCTATGCTTCATTTTGTTCTCATATTAATGAGATTGATTCTTCCATAACGAGGTGTTATGTAAGTGAAATGAATCGATGAACTTCATTATAAACAGAGATCCCGCTGGGTTAATCTCACTCCGAGTAACGAGGCGGTGTGTTCTTGGTATAACATCGCAAGGGACACTTTCAAAGAAATGATTGTCTTTAATCCTACGCGCGTGTGCATATTTTTTGAAAGGATTGTATATAACCATTGAGTTTCTAAAGGGAGAATCATTATTAAGCTTCTTTCATCAATAAAGTCTTCATTCAACAGAGTTCTTCTATCATTTTCTCCGAAATAGCAAGACTGTCTTTGACCAGTTACTAGGTAAGAAATCTTAATTGTTATTCCTTTTTTTTCAATTTTTAAATTATACAAACTATGTCAATAGAAAATTCGTACTTCATTACCCGTAATAATATATTGGTTACATTTTTCTAAATGTATACGTCGAGATACTTTACTTTTTCTCTTTTAAAAAAAGAATTGACAAAACAATTTTCCTGCATGTCAAGCACTCATCACCCGATCATACGGGTGATTATTTAATGCCTCATTATTTATTTGAAGTATTAATGATGATATTTAGACTTCTGACTTCTATCATACAACAGTATAATGATGAGATGTAGTTTTCATTTTAGAATTATCCAGCAACAAAACACCCTTGGTACTTCCTAACATGATACAAATTTATGACTGTAGGCCAAATATTCAAGGCTTACCAAAGTGCTATACAATGCATAAAACACTTTTAATTAGTCAATATAATATGAAACGCAACCACCGGGGTTTCAGTAACTTCGGAATGTTACAATGGAATTTTCTTAGAATCAACGCCATTTTATTGGTAGCTGAAAAGATACAAAATCTCCTAAATGAGATACGAGGTGCCTCATTTGAGTATTTTCCTGGCCCAAACAAAATTTCGTAAATTCGTATATTTCGAAAATTCGTAACGCGGCTATAGACAACTCTGACCAATTGCACTCAAAAACAATACAGCATCGAACAGTGTCTTTTTTATGCGAAAAGATCTCTGCGTATATTATGTAGACAGTTACTCGATATTATACGAATTTTTAAATCAATTAAATATAATATCAACTTTGTTCAACCAGTATATTACAAGTGTGCACCCTGTTTGGGAAACACGCCACCTTCGGCTGGCAGCAGGTAGGACGAATCGCATGATTGGAGCGATTGTTGGAATAGAATGTTTGGTCTGTAACGTGATTGGGCCTCATAATTGTAAACTGCTTATCCCTT